AATTGGGGGTTCGCGTAGAAACTTCCTATCAGGCCAATGATCTTCTCCGGAACCTTCAGTCTGTGCAGTGTTTCAATAAGTTTAGTTTGAGAGACCTTGTCGAAGGCTTTCTCCCAGTCTAATAGGATTAATGTGCTATTGAGTCTGGATTTTTCTGCGATGTCTTGCAACCTTCTGGCAATAAATATTGCTTGGCTGGTTGATTTACTTTTACGAAAGCCGAACTGGGTTTGCATCAGCCATGAATCCAATCCGGCATCTAACCGTTCTTTAACCAACGCAGCAACGATCTTGTAACAAGAACATAACAAAGAGATTGGTCGATAATTTGCTAATGAAGATGCATCTCCTTTCTTAAAGATAGAGACTACGATTGCTTTCATAAGCTCATGATCCATAGAGCCGCATTCAAGGCAAGCGTTCGCTGCTTCGAGAAGTGTATTTCTGTTTTCAGCATCTAACCATTTGAAAAGCTCACCCGGAACCACATCATGACCTGGGGTCTTATTGCTTTTGATCCTACTCAGTACGTAGTTAAGTTCAGCAGTTGTGAACGGAGAATCATCTATGCGATATCTTCCATCTTGGAGAGGGCGATTTATGCGCGTTTCCTGCGTGTGTTGTTCGTTGGAGTGTTTCCACTGTGTGTTTTGTAGGTAGTCTGCTGCTTTTTGGTGGAAATCCGTATGGGGCACATGATTCCCTGATGAATCCTTGAACTTTGTGAATGATGGCGTGAACTTTGCACGGAGTCTTTTCAAACCATCCCATTTATACCCTTAAGATGTGATTTCTTCGAGTTGAGACAATAAATGATCTTCCTTGTCCTTACGTACTTGATGTTTAATTTGAGCTGACAAAGCATCTGCAAGTTCAGTGTTATTGCTTTCTATTGCGCTCCATTTGGATTCCAAGAGTTGCCATGTTGCTGTTGAAATGTAGGCCTTCTTTTGCTTAGGCGGCAATCGTGTGAGTGCGGTTTTGGCACTGTCATTCAAAATTTGATTAAATGATGACTAAGACTAGTAAGATGAAAGCCAGGCGGGGTCAAGAGGTGCCTCGTTCGTGTCCCTCGAACTAGGGTGTCGAACAAATCTGTGCTCTGGATGACCCTGACGATGCTGGTAGTTGAGAATCTGTGGGGGGCAACGCGTGTGTGTGTCACGGATGCTGTCGAATCTACCCCTCACACTCGGCACTCAATCGGGTAAATGGGAGGAACGGCGTGATTCAAAACAAAACTGCCGGATCTGAATCCTACGTGTGCGCAAGACCAGACTTAAGAATCACCAACAGCCGTCTTCTAATTTCTCACTATGCGCCTTCGTGGCCAATAGTCTGGTTGCCTCACACCACGGAACCGATTGTTGAGACTGCACTTCCTACTGGCCAGTCTTTTCGTCTTTTGATTTTATCTTTACGGTCGCGCATGTTGCTGTCGCCCACCACCACCACGATCCGCACCTCTGCTTAGAGGTTCATGGGTAGTTGTAAGTGGGGTTATAAGTCCCCTAGCCCCAACTCCAAAAAACCACACGTAAAATCCCATGCCCACCAGCGTAAACTCATAAAGCCTCCCGATCCTAAATCCTGAACCTTCCATCTGACCCCCTAAACCTACACCTGAAGCCAAAACCCTTTAAATCCTCTACGAGCGATGATCCTAAAACCCTAAAGGCCGAACCACCCACAACCTACTGAAGCCCTCAAGGAACAAAGCCTCCTAACAGCCTCAAGAAGCTTAGAGCTGAAACCCTAAAACTCTTAAATCAATCCGCTTAAGCCTTTGAAGCCGGTAAAAAACAGTCTGGGGCTCTGGCAGAGCCAAGTCCCGAGGCTGGGAAGTGGAGCCCGAGGTATTGATCCACAAGCCCTTCGCTTTAAGGCTTTGGGTGAAGGGTTGAGGGCTGAGGGTTAGGTTTATAGTGCTGTAGGCTTTGGGGTTTAGGGTTTAGGGCTTCAGGGTCGCTTTGGGGGTTGACTGACGGCCTTCTTAGTCGAGGGTTTGTGCGTTCAAAAGTTCAGGGCTCAGGGCTTCAAGTGGGGATAGGGGCTTTCAGAGCTAGGGCCTAGAGATGGTAGACTTTCATGTGTCTCTGGTTGACAATGGGAGGCGAGTTCAGCGCTGAGTTCCACTGTCGAGGAAGTTGGGGCCTGTCGTGCTTTGGAGCTGCAGGGTCTTACAGGGTTCAAGGTGTGGGATTTCGGGGCTTAGGCTTTACAAGGCTTACCCTCAACCTAGTCTAGTACAAAGCGTTACCATGTGAGCTCTGAACCATATAAACCCCCTAAACCCCAATACGCGGCTCAGGCTGGAGGTTTGGGGGTGGTGCGCGTGGAACTCGGACCGTAGGAGCTTCTACAAGAGAAACGTCCCTCAACCCGTAACAGAACCACGGCTTAGAGTTTGGGGTTTCGGGGTTCTGCGGGCGTAATCCCCAAACCTCAACCCAAGCAATGAAGCCTCATAAAGCTGAAAGCCCGAAGCAACCCTAATGAACCCAATAATCTGAGAGCCCTAAACCTGAACACCCTAAACCCCTAAAAACCCTCGAAGCCCTCAAAGCCCTCAACCCTGAACCCTCAACCCAAATCCCTAAACTACCGAGGCCCCCAGCGCTGCGTCTCATAGCCCCCAGAGCCGGCTACCGCTGCTCCGGTCCCCGCAGCGGCGGCGGAGGCTGGAGGAGCCTTTTGAGGGTTTAGGCTTGACGGGTTGAGGGCTTAGGGTTAGGGGGTTTAGGGGGAGAAAAGCTAGGGTTCAAGCGTTAGGGTCTAGGGCTTGTAGAGTTAAGGTGTGAGAGTTTGAGGGTTTAGTGGTTGTTGGCTTCCGGTTGAGGAGTCTTAGAGTTGTTGAGCTTTTGGGGTGTAGGGGTAAAAGAGTCAGGGCTATAGTAAGGTTAAAGAAGTTCAGGATTGAGGGTTTAGGGCTCACGGCGTAGGGTTAACGGTTTAAGCTGTATAGGGTTCGAGCAGCTTGTGGGTATTCTAAAATCAAGGGTTGTTGTAAGGTTCTAGAATCTGGAAGATGCGAGAGGGTTCGGGTTCGATACTTTCTTCTTTTAGTGTGCTATCACCGGGTTAAACAGGTTCTATCCTTTTCGCTTAGAGACTCGCGCAGTAGCGGTGGCAACAACCATGGTTCAAGCACTGACCCCAGCACTCCTGCTTCCTGAAGGTTGTTTGCGATCGATGCATAGGATGAAGGCCGGCTGTCAAGCACCCGTCTGCACATCTTTAATGTCGGCGTTCCAGAGCAGCAGGGTGCTCTTTGGAAGTGCAGTGGCAGCAGAGGCCTCGTTTGGGAACACCAGGACGTGAACATTAGCATGCGCACGTGTGCCACCTCGCGGCATGTCATGCAGATTTATTTCAGAGAGGTCAAAGCTTTAAGCGGGCCCAACGCCTCTTCTGGCTCGTCTGACTGCTGACCGCACCGTGTGCTGAAGATGTACTGCCCTGCAGATCATCAAACCACGGCTTTCGGATTCCCGCATTTGCGCATAATTACTGTTGGTCTTTCCCACTTCCATCGTCTTCCTGCTGCTGCCACTGCTGCGTTTGCTTTACTTCGCACGGGGCCATGACGCTTGCAGAGCCCCCTGCCCCGTTTGCGTTGTAACCCTACGGAGCGGAGACAACGCGGGTGCCCGTCTCCGTGCCAGCAGTCGATTTTTGTTGTTTTTTTTTCTCTCTCTCTCTCTCTCTCTCTCTCTCTCTCTACGGGTTCTATCAGGGTTTTGGGTTTTGGGGTGTTGGGAGGACCTGAGAAACGGCCTTAGGCTCGACGGCTTGCTATTACGGGAAGGTTTAGGGTCTCAGAACCCTAATCAAGTCCTTATGAAAACAAGCCAGCTTTGGCTTTCAGGTTCCATGGGCCTACTCCCAGGATTCAAAACTTTCGGACTGAATGCCTCGCACATGCAGTGAAGCTACAAATCGGTTGGCAACATTGTCGGCCAAAGACTTTGATCAGAAACCCGCAGCGCAGGTTGCAAACTAGATGGCTGAAAACGTATGTCCTGCTTCAACTCTGAAGCCATCAAGTACACAGGCCTCCCTACTAGTACTAGTATTAGTACGAGTAGCAGTGGTAGTCGTGCTAGTGGGCAGGAGGAAGTCACAGTATGCATGCTACCAGGACTAACATTTACATTTACATACTGGCAGACAAGAGACAACAACAACAACAATCAGTAATGATAATAATGACAACAACGATTGCATCTACTGTATTAGCACTGACCTGCTCGGTGTCGGCGCCCTGCATGAATGGGGCATCCAGTCTCGTGGCCGGAGGAGGCGACGATGACGAAACCTGGTAAGCTTGACAGCCTCCTACACTGAGGGCCTCAAGAGTTACCTGCACTATTTTGGGGGTTCCTTAATATAAGTATGGTATTATGAGCCCCAAAACCTCAGTCTAATTATTAAGGCCCCTACATGACACTGCCTGATGTACGATGCATGCAGTGCATGCAGATTTGCATATGCACATGTACACTTGCATGCATACAAACATTAATGCATGCGCGCGTTTCTCGCATACATGCATTCATGCAGCGCAGCCCTGCATGCCTGCATGCCTACATACAAATGCAAAAACGAACCAACAAGCATACATTCTATCAGAAAACAGGCGCAACACACCTTTTCGGCAGGCGGTTGCCCAGACTCAAGGGCCCTACAGGTTTTGGGCCAAAAGGGCAGCAGTGTCGCTGCACACTGTACAAAGTGCTTACGCAAAACGGTCCCGTTTGACACTCCCAACTTTTTGTTGGCCTAAAAGCGTGTCGGGACGTTGAGGGAAAGGGTCAGCTATTTATCGCTTCCCCTGTGAGCCGAGCTGGGAGCTCAAGGCTCTCTCAGTAGAGAGGCAGCCGGTTGAACCGTAGCTGCAGGTGGGTACGTGGTGCAAAACGTGTCCAGGTGCACAGACTTCGGAGGTTGGTAGAGAGGACCGGCCTTACTGGGGCGCGCAGAGCACCACACAGTAGTCCTCAGGCGTCGGACCTCAGCTGAACCGTTGGCTGTCGGAGCCAGTTGCGGAAGGTCTCGCGCAAACTGTCAGAGACTTTAGTCAGACCATCTGCCCACATGGCGGTCGTAGGAACCCAGCGCATGTCTTGAGGGGCAATGGTTTCCTGAACAGCCCTGATCGTCAGGCCAACGCGCTTTTCTTCAGTGTTGAAGTTAGCGGCGATGGCGGCGTCGTACAGAGACTTACAATCAGTGGCGTGGCAGTGACGCAGTGTCTTGAGATTGGTGACGGGGTTAGCTTCACACCCGAAAATGATCTCAGAGAACATCTGGTTTGCCAGGACGCCCCTATCGATCGAGTCATCTGCGGCGTATGCCTCACCAGCCAGAGTGGAGCGCACCACACGTGGAGTGCGGGTGCTCTTCCAGTCAAGAAGCACGGCGGGGGCATTGCCTGTCAGCGCGTCCGGTGTCGTGAGACACACAAGGAGGCCTTCTTGGCTTTTGTACTCCTGGGCATTCGCCCATGAGCAGTCACCGTAGCTCACGATGATGCTGTGCTCGTTGATGGGGATCCCGTGGAAGACCAGCCCATCGCTGTGTGTACGAGCGAAGTACTCCGACAGGGCGTACAGCTGCTTGAGCTCACTGAGGGTGGAGTCGTTGCCGCGGTTCATCAAAGAAACCGTTTCAGCACCGTCAGGACGCGTCTGTCCCACGAGCCATTGGAGTGCTCCACAGACGGAGCGGAACTCCGAAAGCTCAGCTTCAGTCAGCTTCGGGTCTTCACGGCCTCGTTGGCGAGTCACCTTCCCGGGGGCAAGGGTACGGATGTACTCCGATTGCGTCACCCGGAGGACGAAAACACCATTCTCCTTGACCGTCCGGAGCTGCTTCCCTTTGAAGGTTATAACGTCGGTGTCGAAGGAGGTTTTGCCCCACTTGAAGAGGCGCGTCAGCACCGTCAAATCAAAGTGGTCGGCATAAGTGACTAAAAAGTCGTCCACGTACACCAACGCTATGCAGTCCAAACAGCCTTCCTTGTCGTAGTGCAGGAAGCACATCCGGTCAAGGGCGTGAGGTCGAAACCCGGCCGCGAGTAGTCGCTTGCCTACCTCGAGAGACCACAAGCGTGGCGCGTTCGCCAAACCATAAACGGATCCAGTGACCTCGTAGATGGTGGCGGGGAAGGCTCCGGCCTTCTCCAGTATTGGGTCTCTCGGAGACATCATGAAGAGGCGATTTGGTCGCTCTCCTTCATTCTGCCTCCCTTGGAGGAATGCCGTGGTGGCATCAGCGCTCCAGAGTCTCCACACTCGGCGGTTCCGTAAAAACGAACGGTTTCGTCCGCTAATATACACCGCGAGGAGGATGTGTTCTGTGAGGCGCGTCGGCGTTGGTGCGTCCCTGCTGATCGCGTGAAGGTCGGGATCACGGTGACCAAGGACCACCACACGGCACTTGGCCTGCAAAGCGCCTTGGCCGCACGCTTTGTCGCGGTAGCACGCGCGTGACTTGAGAACGCGGGTTCTCAGAAGCGGGTCCTTGAGGACCTCGTTGGCTTCTTTGTCACTAAGGGGTCGGACTGGTGCCCAAGTGCCCCATTGCTCGTGCTCCTTGCGAGCGGCTTCGACGTACTTGTCGAAAACCACACGCGGCTGCTTCAAGATTTCTCGCCAGGGGATCTCCCGATTAAGGGCTTTCACCTCTTTGCGAGTCATCTTGTTGACGTTGGCCAGCTGCTTCTGGTCGCCGACATAGCACACTCTCCAGGACGGATGACAGTCTTCCACGCCGTCGTCCTCCGCACCCTGGATAGGTGGCTCTCGGTGTTCTGAAGCGAACACCTCGGGAAGAGACGCCAGGTCTCCCCGATGGTCGGGCTCCCAGTCGGTACCATCCCAGCCAGGTGGCCTTAGGAACACCTCTCCGGACTCGCAGATCAAGGTCGCTTGGCTGCTCAACCTGGATATCCGCTTTGCAGGAGTCGAGGGTGCTGCAGAAAGTCTCTCGACTGTACGTTTGGTACCTTGGCTTGCCATTTCAGAGTCGTCTTGCAGAGGGACCTCAGAAGCCGGTGGCGAGTAAGCCGGAGTAGGTAGCGGGGGCGCAGAGGCTGCGCTCGCTGCCGCTGTGTCTGCCAGGGCCGCCAGGTCGGCGCCGTCGGTGCCGTCCAAGGCGGACTGTACTTGCTCCTCGCTCGGCTCACGTGGAAACTCCAGTTCCGGAAACAGGGGTTCGTCGTCTGGCGGCGCTTCACCCTGCCAGTCTTCCACCTCGCCGCTCAAAAGGTTAGCTTCGGCGTTCTTGAGGGCCTTTATATCCTCGTCGGTGGGGGACCAGGCTTCGAAACCATAGGCTGGCCTCAGCTGGTTCCTGTCCACCTTCACCGTCTGAGTGCCCAGTTGCACCCACGCGCAATGTCCATCGAAGGTAACCAACCTGCCGATGACATAGCCGCCGCGTTTGCGGGGGCCTTTTCCGCGAAGTTGGGATCGCCAGACGGCACACTTGGCGCCGGGCGAGATGTCCTCTATCCGCATGTGCGCGGTTTTGCGAAGGAGGGCGCGTCGGACGTGTTGGTCCACGTTGACCTGCGCCGCTGCCTTCTGAGCCTCAGCTCTGTAGACAATCGTGTGGCGGTTGTGCTCTTCCAACGGAATGTTGGCCGCCAGTGACGAGTCGTCAGTCAGAAGCTCCGCCGGGACGCGGGGAATGCGTCCGAACACGATAGCATAGGCTGAGAGTCCGCGGGAACGGGGCATGGAATTGATGGCATGCGTGGTTGCGTCCACCGCCATCTCCAAGTCCTCCGGCGTAGCGGCCGCCATGCTATCCACAACTCGGTTGAGGACCTCGCGGTAGACCGCGTTGCACCGTTCCGCTTTGCCCAGGCGGTGGTGTGCCTCGGCGGGAACGTAGTCCACCTCCGTTGAGTTGTCGACGAGGTACGTCCAGAAGTCACCCATAAACGCGCCGTCCTGGTCTAAGGTGACCTTGTGAGGGAAACCAAAGGGACGCGCCCAGGTCGTGCGGAAGGCTTCGACCACGGTTTTAGGGTTGCGGTCCTTCAACACGCACACTTGCTGGAGGTTTGTCGCCTCGTCCACTATCCCCAGGAGTGGGTAGTTCGTGCCGTCAACGGTCCGCGAGTAGAAGATGTCCATTTGGACACAGTCTCCCAGTTGTCCGACGAAGCGGTCCACGAGTCGAGAAGGTCGCGGGGGAGCGTTTCCGCGCATGCGAAGGCATGATGCACATGTAAGTGCTTTTGCCGCGGAGACAGCCTCGGGCGTGACGGCGCCGTTCTGTGCCAACATTCGGACAAGGTCCGCACTTGACGGGTGTCCCAAGTTCACATGTAGGCGTGCCACTGCCCGCTGTATCTCCCGCGGTGCCTTGCAGTTCGGAAAGGTAATGTCCGCGCCGTGCACTTCCGCAGGCGGAACGTCCGGGTCAACCGGAGGGGTTCCTGTCGGCTGAGGGGGCGCTGGGACATCGGTTGGATCCTCAGGCGCATCGCCGTAGACGCATATAGCGTATCTCACGGGTTTAGGAAACCGCTGGTGAGGGAAGGCGATGTTGGCGACGTCATCCGATTCACAGGCCACTTCGTCGTCGTTGTAGAGCAGGACGGTGGCACGGTGAGTGAAGGGGATGTCTCGAGGGAAGCGCCGCGCCTTTGGCGCCTTGGCGAGCTGGACTCGCTCAATCCGCCAGGGGATCATTTCCGAAATCCGCTTCCAGATCTCGTGACCGGGTGTGAGGGTGATCTGGGGGGAGGCGCTCGTGCGAAACACCTGCTCCACTTGATCCATCACACCACGCCATTCTCGGTCGTCCTGGACGTAGTCTAGGTAGTAAGTTTCATGGAACGGGGGCTTTGTTGAAACCCGGTCCCAGGTGCCGCAGGCAGGGGCGCGAAGCGGACGCTGCTTCTCGCGGCGGAACCGTGTAGGCTCCAACTCGCGCACAACTCGGCGGACGCGGTAAGCAAGTCCAGCCGGAGTCGCTTCGGGAGTAGGCTGAGCCAGCCACTCGTGGTTAGCTGTCACCCTTTCCTCTGCCTGGGTCACGTGTGCATGGCTGCTGCTGAGAAGCCTGCTGACGTTCTGATTGCTCCACACCGTGTGGTCCGGGGGAGCTATCAGGGTCCAGTACATAGTGACCTCGCCGTTGCTGCTTCTCTAGCGCCTTGAGCGCAGCCTTGCTCACTTCCGGGTCCGAGTGAGCCGGGGAGCTCGTCAGCCTCACGGCCAGGACTAAAGGATTGTAGTAGTCCAGTGCTTCCGTGAACTTCTTCCGGCCGCGGTGAGAGGCGACGTCCCAGGTCTCCTCCACACCTTTGAGGCCGAGGGCTTCAACGTTGCCCTTGCTGTCACACGGCGTGACCTGCATCAGGTCGTGATCATAGTCGATCTTTCTCCGTGCATTCACGGCCTTGGCCAGCTCTGCATGGAGCGTGGACAGCTCCAGTCCCAAGGCTGCCCCTGCCTTCCGAGCCACTCCCGCCAACCGCTTCCTCTGACCGGTCTTCAGGAAGTCCGAGTCCAGTCGTAGAACTCGTGCTCGCTCGAGTCTTCCGGCTCGTAGCTCATCCCCGATGCGAGGCTCGACAGGTCGAACTCCTGAGGTGCCCTGCGGGTCCGAGGACGGAAGCGTTGGGAGCTCACCGAGGAAGGGGTACTCGAAGGCTGGGCCTTGGGCGTTGCCTTGGCTTTGGCCTTCGTACCGGGGGCCGTGTTCGGGGCCACAACCGTAGTCGGCGTTGGCAAGGGCAGAGTAGACCGCCCACGTGACTGAGGCCAGTAGACCCAGCCAGCGGGGTCGTCTTGCCACTTCCACCGGGTACCGCACACCCTGCACAGGGCGTACCTGCCGGTTGCGTTCCCGTAGCGGTTGATCTCGTTGGTCGGATGTGTGCAGTTTGCCGCGGTGACCGTTGCTGGGGGGATCGATGCCTGCAGCATGTTCCTCGCCCAGTCCACTTCGAGCCGGCAGCTCTGGCGCATCAGCACCACGAGGCGGCTCCTCAAGGTGAGGACCTCCACCAGGAGGCGACGCCATGCGCACAGCCAGAGCGGGGGCGGGCGCTACGCGTCCGTGCATGGCAGCTAGTCGGGGCTACCACGCCACTTGCAGGAGAGGGGCTCGAACCAACGGCTGCGGAGGCGCGCACTTCAGCAGAGGCTCTCACCTGAAGTGCTTCACTCTCAGACAGACCGTGGTTGTCGGCACTTGCAGCGCTCTGTTCGCTTTTTGCAGGGCCGAAGAGCACCTCCTCGGTTGGGGCACGTCGGTAGTGCCACCGGTCCAGGTCGCACGGAAGTCCGTCGACAGGAAAAGACGTGACACAGATGGCGAGGTGTCCGCCCAATGTCACGTGGAGGGGGACCTCGATCTGGAGGGAGCCGAGGAAGGCTTTCTCAGAAGGGAGGTCGAGCACCGCTCCAAGCTGCTTCAGCATCTTGAGGGACGCCAGCAGCGGGATCTCCGCGGCAAGCAGGGAGGCGACCAAGACCTGCGGGGATCGCCAGCGAGGCAGAGCTCATCGCCGGCTTGCCTGCGCCGAACTTGAAGCGCTCGGACTCTGGCAGCCACTTGCAACTCAGGCCAAAAGGGCGCAATGTCGCACAGTGGGCCAGGTAGGCCTTCCTGCCGATGCAGGTCTTCTGGCAGGCAGTGTCGACGATCATGAGGCCGGCGGCCGTCTCCGGTGCGTTGGTCAGCACCTGGGAGACCTGCGGAGGGATCCACTCCTCGAGGGTGGTCATCCACACAAAGTAGGACTCGTGGGTCTCCTGGCCCTGTCCGTCTTCCTCCGCTTGGCCCTCGGCAGCATCGTAGTACTCGTCGTAGGGTTGGTCGTCGTAGGCCTGCTCGTCGGGCGGCGGCTCCTCGTAGCCACCCTCGTGAGGAGCTTCCTCGTGCTCCGTCACGTGGACACGGGAGGCGCCTTTGCCCTTACGCTTTCCGCCTTTGCCTTTGTCTTTGCCCTTGGGCGAGCCCTTGCCATGGGCTCCTTTGCCCTTGGGCTGCCCAGTGGAGGAGGTCGAGCCAGTGCCCTTCCCATCCGTCCACCGGCGTCCTTGCGTGGAAGGACTTCAGCTTCTGGGCCGTCACTGTGAGGACCTCCATGGCCTTGGAGATTTCCTCGAGCTCGGCGTCTTCGGCCTGGGGCTCAGCAGCCTCTCCGGTGGCCTCGTCGGGAGCCTCCGTGAGGTGTACCCGCTTCGCGTCCTTGCCCTTTCCTTTCTCACGCCCTTTTGCTTGGCCGCCAGCAATGGGGGGAACAGGAAGGGTGTCCGGATACTGCAGAAGCAGGGAGTCACGGATCGGGATCCACTCGAAGCTCTGGCCGGAGGCGATGAGCACCATTCGCGCCTGCTCGCTCGTATAAGCCCAGAGCGCTCCAGCAGTCAGTGCCCTAAGGCTTCACCGGAGTACATCCCTTGGATGTTGACCCCGAGGTGACCGAGCTGCACGTAGGCCCGCATGGACTCGCCGCCGTGCCTCCGGATGCTCTCCCACGTACGGAGGTAGTGGTGCTTGCCGTACACCACTCCATCCGAGGCGGCGCTCTCCAAGCGCTTGAGAACGCCCTCCACACCACCTTCCTCGATGCACGAACTCCAGCTCTCGCTCCGGGAGCCCGGTCAGGGACTCCACAAGGAGCAGGGCCGCGTCCCCATCAGGCATCCACGCTGCGACTCTCCGCGACCACAACCTGACCCTCCGCACGTAGCGGTCGAAGGACCCTACGTCGCGAGCAGAGGCGTCGTATTTTGGTGGTTGTGGGGGAGCGCCTCCACGCCAGTGGATCCCTGGGGCAGGCCCCTTTTTCGGGTTCCAGAGCGTGAGCTGCGGTTCCCCAGGGGCGTGACGGCATTGTCGTCGATGATGCGGTCACTGAGCGGCGGGGGCAGTGCCTGGAAGTCTTGATGTCCCTTAAAAAAACGTGCGTGCGCCCAAACAAATGTACCTTATTTTAAGGTGCGTTTCAAATGACCGTTAAAAATCGCCGTTTTGCGCCTCTGCAAAAAGTTTTCGTTACAAAGTGGAAAAAACTACCGGTTTGGCCGTGTACAGCGAAATCCGACGTGCCGAGCACTCACAAAACGTTTTCGTTGCGAAGTGGACCAAAATTACTGGTTTCACGGTGTACAGTGAAATCTGACGTGCCGAGCATTGGAAAGTTTTCGTTGCAAAGTGGAATTTTATATACCGGTTTCACCGTGTACAGTGAAATCTGACGTGCCGAGCATTCACAGAGGTTTTCGTTGTGAAGTGGAACTAAAATACTGGTTTCACCGTGTACAGTGAAATCTGACTTGCCGAGCATTTGAAAGTTTTCGCCGCAAAGTGGAATTTTGTACGCCGGTTTCACCGTGTACAGTGAATTCCGACGTGCCGAACAGTCACAAACATTTTCGTTGCAAAGAGCGGTTTCGCCGTGTACCGGAAATCACGGAACTCGACATGAACTGGGCTATTTGACCCTGTATACACCTGAATTGGTGATTTTGTGCGCTGTGATGAAAAAAAGCCTTAAACAAATCCTTAACTAATTATCCGTCTCATAGCAACCCTACTAATCCTAAACCCCTGAAGCCGAGACGACTCAACACAACATATATAGGCAAACCCGACAACCACGAGCAACTCCAGGGCCTCCTCCAAAATCACCGCGAAAAAAAATAACCGTAGTGCAGGCAAAACAAGGCCTGAGACTCAAAAGCCCTTAGGCGAGGCACTTCGAGAACCCCTCGCTCTCTTTCGCTCTCTCTCTCTCTCTCTCTCTCTCTCTCTCTCTCTCTCTCTCTCTCTCTCTCTCTCTCTCTCTCTCTCTCTCTCTCTCTCTCTCTCTCTCTCTCTCTCTCTCTCTCTCTCTCTCTCTCTCTCTCTCTCTCTCTCTCTCTCTCTCTCTCTCTCTCTCTCTCTCTCTCTCGATCTCACTAGTGTTTCGGGGAAACGAACTTTTGCCAGGTCCGTGCTGTGCCCGGCACAGTGCACAAATCGAGACGTGTACCAAGCTTGTGCACGCGAGCCTCTCCGCAGATCGAGAAGTGTACCAAGCTTCCACTTGCAAAGCATTTGTGGGCTGCTCGTAAGTTTCCAGCCGTGCTTAACAAAACAAAGCACTACACCCCTAAAGCCCCAAACCCTAAAGCCCGAAGCCCCTAAAGCTCTAAAACCGTAGAATATTCTGGCATGCGCCCTTGCTAAAAATCGAGATGTGCCAAACTTTGAGCTTGCGTGGGTCTTAATTTCGGCAGATAAAGATCGCCATGGCATGGGCCGACGAGCAGGGCCCAAATTCTGCCATTTCAAAGGTGTGCCCTGCCCCACCCGGAGTGTCTGAGTGATCCGTGACTGCATGCAAGGGTGAGATCAGCTGATTCATCGGTCAGTGCATGCATGGCAAGCTGCAAGCATTCGCTATTCGCCGCTATTCTTCCTGTTCGCAGCACTGAGTTTTCATGTATAGTTTGGGGTCTGGGGTATGAAGAAGCATGTGGCGAAAGTTCGTTTCGAGCCATGTGCTGAAGCTAAAGCTGTCGGGCTTGAGATTGCAAAGGAGGAGAGTCTTTCAAGAGCGGCTTTCCAAAATATTCGTGTTAGCACTTTGCGGGATCTGGCGGATTGCAGCACACGCAGGGCCGCTCGAAGACTGAGGTAGGTCTGGCTCTACTTGCTGACACGTCCGGGAAGTTATTGAATCAACGCAGGGCCTGCAGCAGGAAGGATGTCATCGGAAATCCCAGAGCATCTTGTATGTTTGGGCTTTGGTTTCTTGACTTCTTCAGACATGTGCAAGTCTTGCCCTTGCGAAGCCTAGATTATTTCGGCAGCCGTGCGGGGAACACCGATTTCTCGCCGTCGTTTGAGTGCATATGTGTATATGGATGCCTTGCTGTATTACTTCAACAACAATGATGTTCTGCCGAGAGGGATAACGATCCTTACGCCAGCCGTTCGGGACTACGCATGCAAAGCCGGTTTGGCTATGAGAAAGTTGGCTTCTTGGCTGTTGGGGTTCAGGAATTCTGCTTGATGTGGCTCATTTTCTTGCCAGACAAGTGGCTAGACCTGCAGGTTACCAAATTCAAACACCTGACCCGCCGTGCTCGGTCTTCGCGGAATGGGGAACTTGCGAAATTGAAGCTGGAACTACGGAAGTATCTGCCCAGCACTCTAGGCTAAACTTAACCAGCTCTGCTACAGCCCTGCTACAAACCTTTATCCTACTGAGAACTCAGGATGACAGCTCTTCTTCCAGCGAAGTCGATGACGAGCATGAGCAGTCTCAGCTGTCTTTGCTGACCGATAATGCCGAAGCTCCCGCTCCTTAGATCATGTTTCCGGTCGGTAGTTGTAGAAGGTGTGCGAGCTTTGTGCGGCAGTATATTAGCTGAGGATGTTCCTACCATCAAGCCCCCGAAACCGGGCGGTCCACTGCCTAGCCGGCTCCAGCATCTTAGCTCCACATATATGTACCTTATCAAATAAGATTCGAAATATCATCCCGTGAGGAGCATTGCTATGCGGATCAAGGGTGATGAAGAGGCTGCTCCAAAGCAGCCTGGGCCTTTATCGACTCGTCTCCAGGGTCTTGCGGAAAAGCTCAAGGCTTCGAAGGGCTCTGCTTCGAGTTCTGTTTCCTCTGGCAGCTCCACAGCTCTACCTGCCAGTGTCGCTTTGAGGAATAGCTTGACGGCTGTGTTGAGCCTTGACCGCTAAGCAATCCGAAACAAATTTTGCTCGGGTAACTCAGGTTCTCGAGAGCCTTCGGTCCGTCACTGCGACCAAGATTCAGCCCATCATCCCGGCCGATCAGCCGCTTGCACGCAGGGAGGTTTGCCGTTCATGTCGCAGCAGCGAGAGAGTAGCCTTGGCTAGGTGGTGCAAGGAAAGCGATGCCGAAGGCGAAGATGAAAGCTCTCCACGAGGAGATAAGGCGGCTAAGAAGAAGAAAAAACCTAGTAAGAAGAAGAAAAGCAAGAAATCAAAGCCGAAGAAAAAGAAAGCTGTTGCAATCCCACCTGATTGCGAGTACAAAGCCGGCGAGTACAAGGAAGCCCGCCTGAAGTATATTGCAGTCAAGAAAGAGGAAGAAGGCATCAGCTTCAAGGAAGCAAACGAGAAATGGAAAAAATCTCGAGAGAGGACAAAGCTTCTTAAAGGAATGAGCCTTAACGAGCTGAAGCGCCGAAGGTTCATCTGAGCTGCTACATGTTGGTTGCATTTCAGTATGCACTATACACGTGGGGGAATCACGTGCGAGTTGATGGCGATGCGGGGCAAACAGCCAGGGCTCTGTGCAACTTGTGCATTGCAAAGCCGTGATTTTCTGACATGACACTACCTATTGAACCCTTTGCCATTGCATTATCTCAGCTGAGCTGGTAGATGTCGAAACAGAACTGCCCAATGATAGACCTGTGTAACTTATGCACAAAGCTAAACCGGAAATCCTGAACTCCACCAAACTTTTAAGTGTCCTGAGCCTGAGCCTGTGGGATGTAGGCCTCGGAGGAATTAGGGTGACTCTTCAGGGTGATAGTTAAGTTCGCCATTCGGTTGTTGCCGCTAGCTGGGGTGGACACGGTTTTCTTTTAGGGCTTGTGTTTTTTCACTTAAGCTCGCTACGATGGTGGTTGCGGAGATGTTACGATGGGGGGCACCGCTTCCCTTCATTCTGCTCGTTGTCATGCTGGGGTTCTATGAGTCGGCGAACCAAGTGCAGGACCGTCTTCTCGATCGAGGGTTCAGATCCAAGTTTGTGTATATGTGGCGGCCCTTGAATTTGCTTGGTGTGTGATGTAAATGCATGATATAGCACAGTGACCCTTTAGGGGTAAATTCTAAACCCTGGACCCTAAACCCTTATACCCCTAAACCCGGATTCCAAGCCACGCCAGGATCTGGACTTCATCGAGCTCTTCTCCGGCACGGGCCACGTGTCGCAGTGCCTACGGCAGGAGCATCGCAGGGTCTTTCCGGGGTGTCGGGGCGAGCTGTGCGGGCGAGGATGCTGGGGCTCATGGATCCGCAATCGATTTGACGATTGATCCCCATGGTATGGACCTAACCACACCGGCGGGCTTTCTGTTGCTAGACAGCAGTGGAGGTTCTGCTAGAAGCTAATCAAACGTGGGTTTGCATTCTCAGGCTAGCCATCAATGAAGCCAAAAGGGTCCGGGAAGGTGGACTTGCAATCATGGCTCTGCCTTGCAACAGTTTCTCCATCATGCCCCTGGGCTGTGACTGGATCTCGCCATATGTTCGGTACCCGAAATGACTTAAATTTACAGCTCAGGAGCAGAGCATCCAGTGGCAGGGACGAAATATGCCCTAATGGCAATGTTGGCTACGGCTTTGTGGCGACTGGCAATTTGTTGTTGGGCCGGATCTGCTTAATTTGCTTGCTGCTCAGCTGCCGCAAAGTCCGCTGGTTGCTGGAGCAACCATCGATGAGTGCAGTCGTCTTTCATCCTTGGATGGACTTTCTTCAGAAACGAGTCTATGTGCCATCATTGCATTTAAACTTGTAGAATGCTATCAGCTTAGCTTCCATGATCGATTGCCTAGGTATTACAGACCAAGTGGTACATGGGCCACTTTGGACAGCAGACTGTCAAACCGCATCTGGGTTTCAGCAACGCTCGATCCCTCCTTCAGGGCATTGCTGCAAGAGCAGGATATCTCAGCAATTCGGACCGCGAGAAAATGACGACGATTCGATTGGCTAAGCATTCAGAGAGCAAGTCACGGTTTGCAGCAAAGTTCACGGGTGTGAGAAAGAACCTCAAAGAAAGCCAGCTCCTAGACTGCATAAGATTGGCCACCTTACATTTTACCCGGAGCTGCAATCCCGTGGGCCTGACGAACTCTGTGATCCCAGGACCTACCCTAAAAAATTTGGTTTTATGCTGGCAGACTATTGGCGGATGCACCCAGACACTGCAACCTGGCAGCATAATTCAGGTAGTATGTGCATCTTGTGATGCCACGCTGTATTATGCACAATAAGGAGGAACTACGAGGGCCACGACTAGCCGTGGATGTGGATATGCAGCAGACCGACTTTGAACTGTTTTGGCCCTTGCTGAAGAAAGCTACAACACAGGATTTCGAGCAGGCGCTTTGTATACTTGACATGCACCTTTCTTGATGTGGCTTTATATAAATAAGCAGCAACTTCGCAGTGAGTGTGTGGCCAGGTCGAAATGCTATCTTGTGTGAAATATCTCCTACGCAGCCGCCACCTACATCTTCCTGGCCATTGGGAGTCCTGCTGGCAAAAGTAAGCCCCAAAAAAGTGCGAGTGCTAAAAAAAACCCGAAAAGTAAGCCCCGACCCTGGATCCCAGCCATAATTTTGAACGGGACACCCTCCTGTTCTTCCCAACTAAGGAAAAGGTCCGTGAGGAGCTGCAGAGATTCATCTGATCAAAGTGCCTGGGATCGGTTCTATGATGTCTAGGGGCTTCAGGCACAGCTCGGGTATGCATAGATTCGGAATACAGGTTTGGGGTCTTGGCTGTGTGCTCATCAATGCTGGCTTCGACGGATGTGCCTCCGAATTTCCTTTGCAGGTTGTTGCAGTGCCAGTATATTAAGTACGTTTGGTGAATAGCACATCGACAGCCAACTCTCCCGAACTGCAGGATTTCTCTCGATTTGACGGGGGTCTCGGAAGGGCTGTGTCAACGGGCTTGGAGAGAACTAGAGTACAGGGAAGCTTTTTTGGAGTTGCTTAGGTCTGGACTTTCTCAGGATTTCGCTCTGAAAAGTCTCGACCCGGCAGAGCTGTTTCTGCAAGCATTAGCTACAGAAAGTCTGTAGGCCTGGGATGTTTTGGGTTGTCGTGGTTTGTATATCGGGATTGTTGCTAGGAGCGAAGCCCCACCGAATCCCCAAATACGTCGGGCCACATCTGTAAGAAAAGCCGCACAAATCCTTTCTTTCACCTACTTATTGGGACCCGAAATCCCGAGCACATCCCCGAAAAATCCCGGTCCAAGTCTCTCTTGGCTTATAAGCTAATTAATGAAACCTGCCAATTCCCAAGCCCCCTAAAACCCAAGCTTCGCGAGCCTTGCGAGCTAGAGTACTAAAGCCTATAAGCACACAGAAAGTCCTTGCAGCTCAGGCCCCTCGATCCACGGGTACGTACTTCGATCGAATCTCAGCCTTAGATAAGCTACCAGGGAATAGTACTTTAGTCCGGGGTTCCAATATATTGGCTGGATTGTATTATTGTACTCTATAGCCAGGGTAGTGTTGAGGGGACTTTGGAGGTCTTGTGCAGGTCTTAGCTTCTGCAGAGAAGCAAAACGGGTTCACGGGTTAGAGCTTCGGGCTTGTATTAGGGTGTGTGGGCTGGATACATTAATATAGGCTTTGGGGAATCTCGTTGTTTTGCAGGAACTTAATGATGGGTTCAGGGCCCAAGCCTTTGGGATTTTTTCTATGGGCTTGGAGGTTTGCGGTGTATTTGGGCCCCGGGTCCTGGTATTTCAGAGTGGCTCAGGAACCCCATATAGATTCGAAATATTGGTCCAGGCTAGCAAGGCACCGAACGAACTCCCGAAATCCTTTAATTCGGTTAATATTGAGGATGGTCATCGGGTTTGGCTTTGGGGTTTTTTTGGACCTATCTTTTCCGGCCTAGGATTTATGGGGCTGAGGGATTAGGAAGGGCAATTTATAGCGATTTTACACAAACATTCCTACTTCGGCTTGAAGGTTTCAAGGGCTTTAACATATGGACTGCACGAACCACCGAGTATCCCCCACATATGTCGTTTTAGGTTATGGTACATAACCCACACGGCCCAAGTACACTAGCAACCTACAAGATCCCGAAATACTCTGGCCCGCCCTCCTTATGCCTTTATAAGGTAGTATCTGCAGTGCCGATAATGGAAATCGCACGAAACCCAGCAATATCCCAAAACCTCGAACCCCTTTCTAAGCCCTAAAGGCTCAGATTAGCTAGGAACCGCATTCGCCACGAAATATTCCGGCAGCTCTCTTAAGGGCTTCGACTAGGTACCAACCAAAATCCCGAAATTTCCCGGTAGTTCTCTTTTGGCTTAGGCTGGGCATCGATAGCTCTCTTTTGGCTTAGGCTGGGCATCGGTAGCTCTCTTTTGGCTTAGGCTCGGCATCGAAACATCCCTAAACTTGATTTAGTTTAGACTATAGGCCCCGAACGAGATCCCGAACATACCGAAATATCCCGGCAGCTCTCTTGGCTTAGGAACCAACCCAAATCCCGAAATATCCCGGTAGCTCTCTTTTGGACTCGGCCGGGCGCCGAACGAGATCCCGAGATATCCCGAAATATCCCGGCAGCTTTCTTTTAGTTTAAACTATAGGCCCCGAACGAGACCCGAAAATCCCGAAAAATCCCGGCAGCTCTCTTGGCTGAGGTACCGAAAGAAATCCCGAGATATCCCGGCGCCTCTCTTTAGCTTAGACCATACCAGGCGGAACGAGACCCAGGAAATATCTCGGCCCTTAAAATCCCGGCACCTCTCTCGATCTCTTAGCTTAGGCAGGCACCGAACCACGTACCGGAAAAATCCCGACCCGTAAAATCCCGGCACCTCCCTCTTTGGCTTAGACCAGGCACCGAGCGAGATACAGGAAAAAATGCTGACCCAAAATATACCGACACCTCTCTTAATTCGGATTAAGCTAGGCACCGGGACTCTGCTAGGCTTAGACTATATAACACCAAATCCCCAAACATCCTGAAATACCCCGGACTCTCCATACAGGGCTTAGAGTGGAACTGCACCAAATCGAAACGTTCCGGCCCTCCAAATATCTCTCCTGAAGCTATTCTGCATTAAGCAACTATTACTATATATATATATAAACTAATGTATTACTCAATTACAATCGGCCAGTATACTGGCCGGTTGTAATTGAGTAATACATTAAAATGTAGTTAAGCCCTTTCTTCCAAGGCCCGTGTGGGGCTTGCGGGATCGATCGATCTCACCGATGATATCCAGGAGGCAGCACATGGCTCCTGCAGCATCGCTTGCAATGCTTATAAGCTAGCTGAGAGCAAGTGAGGAGGATGCCTCGCTCCATGCAATCGATCTCGATCGATGGATTTAATTGGGTGGTTGTGGTTTTCGTGACTCTTGCTGGCACTGTCATGCATGCCGGATCAGTGTGTTTGGGTGTGCCTTTTGTGTCTATATTGCTACCGAGGAGAACCTTTGCTGCCTGATGCTGCTGATAAGAAAACTCAGCGGGATAAAGCGTGAAAAGGCCGTTATAATACACCCTAATGTGCGTTATTCAGCGTGGGAAAGCGTGATTGGTTTTTTGCACAGAACTTAACTGTTCTAAACGTGCTAGATCTGGCTCGAGTTTGGGTTTTGCTGCGATCTCTGATCATGGGTGCTAAAGAGGTTGACAAGGCCCTCCGGGAATCCTTCAAGAAGGGCTTGGCTGTGCGAAAGAGCATAGCTGATCTCAAAGAAAGTAAGAAGCTTGAGAAGGGTGAGAAAGCCAAGAAGACACGTGGCACTCTCAGTGTGGCCTCCTCGTCGTCTTCCGGGGTGCCAGATAATCCGCCCGTGGGGCTGGATGAACGTCTCAATGGACCCACCTCGCTGACATTGGGTGAGCTCATGACCAGTGAGCGGCTCAATTATGAGGATGCCTTAAGGGTTTTTCTGAATGTCAGGCAGGAGTTTGAGGAGCAAGCAAAGAACGAAGCCAAGGCAAACTCCAAAACCTCTCGCAAACGCAAAGCCGAAGAGACACCGAACGAGGAAGAGGATGACGAGCCCGATTCCCCGGACCCTACCAAGCCTCCAAAGGCCAGCCCCAAGACCCGAGGCAAGCCGAAAGCCAAGGGCAAGGCGAAGCCCCTGCCCAAGGAGCCTGAGGAGGAGGAAGAGGAATCTGACAATCAGGATCCCGGCAAACTGTTGAAGGCCACCCCAAAGACCCGAGCCACGCCCAAAACCAAGAGCAAAGCCAGCCACACCGCCAAAGAGCCACAGGAGGAGGAAGAGGAAAAAGAGGATTCCCCGGAGGCCGCCAAGCCCCCAACCCGAGCCACGCCGAAATCCAAGGCAGATCAGGAGGACAAGGAGCACGACCTTGCCATCCTTCCAAAGGCCAGTCCCAAGACTCGAGTCAGCCCAAAAGGGAAAGCCAAGGGCAAGCCCAAGCCCCTGCCCAAGGAGCCAGAGGAAGAGGAAAATGATTATTCACCGAAGTCTGGCAAGCTTTCCAAGGCAAACCCAAAGGGCCGAGCCACGCCGAAAGCCAAGGATGAGGAGCACGATTCCCCGGACCCTGCCAAGCCTCCAAAGGCTAGCCCCAAGACCAGAGGCAAGCCCAAAGCCAAGGGAAATGCCAAGCCCCTGCCCAAGGAGCCTGAGGAGGAGGAACAGGAATTTGATGAAAGTCAGGATTCCGCCAATCTGCCAAAGGCCACCCCAAAGAGCCGGGCCACGCCGAAAGCCAAGAGCAAGGCCACATGCACCGCCGAAGAGCCACAGGAGGACGAAGAGGAAGAGAATCAGGAAGAGGAGGAAGACATCGCAGCGGAACCCAAGAAAAAGGCAACCCCGAAGTCGAAAGCTGCAACAATCCGCAGGACAAAGAAAAGAGCCTTGAAGCGCAAGAATGCAAAGGAGAGCTTGGAGGAGGATGCTGCAAAGAGCACGAAGAGCAGGGCCATCACCGCTCGCACACCCCCGAAAGTCCGCCTGCATGGGAAGACCAAGCCTGCAAGAAAAAATCAGAAGGTACCTCCGGCCCCGCATCCAGATGAAGCTGACACCCAGCTCGAGAACCTAGGGAACCAGCCAGGTGATGACTCCGATGGTTTGGCACCGCAGCATGAGGAGGAGGAGCACTCGGAACACCATGATGACACGGAGCACACAGAACAGGATGATGACGAGGAGCAAGAGGATGGCGAGAAGCACCCAGAACAGAATGATGAGGAGCAGCAGGAGGATGATGGCGAGGAGCACCCAGAACAGCATGATGAGGAGGAGCAGCCAGAAGAGGACAAGGATGATGACCAGGATTCTCCCGAGTGCCTAGGCATCGATTAAGGGGTTTAGGTCGATCGTGCAACTTATGCTTCCAATCATTCAAACTAAACAAGGTCCTGTCTCACCTTCAAAGCCGGGCAACACAGCCTGAATTATGCGGGCGAGGCGGCACTTCGTGGCACGCTTGCTCGAGGCGACTCCCTATCTGACTTGTCGGATCTATTGAAAACGTCCCTTGTCCTCAATCCAATGCCTGAAACCTTAAACTATCTATGTAGCCACACACCCCCATGTTACCAGTTGAAACCTAATCATGATCCAAGGCTTGGCCCCAGTGCCAGCCAACTCGGCTACGCAGAGGAGCTAAGCGGCTTGCTTCGACGTGTTGATGGTTTGGTGCAAAGCAAGGAAGCCGAGTCTAGTGCGAAGGCAGCAGCAGCCAAGCCCGAGCCAGGATCAAAGCCCGCATCCCCACCCAAGCGAAAAAAGACAGCATCAAAGCCCGCATCCCCGTCCAAGCAAACAGCTGAATCACCCGAGAAGCCGTCAGCTGCCAAGCCACCAGCCCCGGCCGCAAGAAAGCCCGCACTCCTGGCCCTGCCGGCCACGGCTGGTCAGGTTGAGGGTCAGGAGAGAGAAGGTGTTGTCAACAGCACGACACACAAGAAAGCTTACATGAAGATGGCCCCTAGTCTTAACTATTTTTATTGTGATGTCGAAGGCCCTATTCCCACATGCTGAGGACCGCTTTTACAAGGCTGGCAAGTTCGACGGGTGCCCGAACGTCAAGATGCTCATGGAAGGCTCGCTCGAGGATGCTTGGACTTCAAATCAATTTCTACATATGGGTCTTACAACACTAAGAAATGCTTGGGCTTACTCAACTACAACCTTAACCCCAACCCCTCTAAACCCTAAGTCCTAAACCGCGAACCCCTAAACCCCAAAAACCTAAACCCCTAACTCCCTAACCCCTAAACCCTAAATTGAAGGATCGCAACAAAGCCCTGCGAGAGTGGGTGACTTTCGGTGGCAATGCAGCCCAGATGGAAGCCAAGCTGAGCTTCGAGCGAACGAGCTCGGTTCTTGGACAGCGGGTGTGGGAACAGGTTGCGGTGAAGGACATGCGGCATCCGCCGTATTCGTTCAGCAAGCTGCCCGGTGTTGATTTAACGCAGTGCATGTGCTATGTGCTTGCTGCAATGATAGCTCTTCAGTTGCTGTTGGTACGCATCACCTGCACTGAGACGAAAGATTGAAAGCATAATCAGCCGTGGCGATGGCGAGGAAGATCCGGATGCTCCGGGATGTTTGGAGGAAAGTAAATGTTTGTGTGCTATCATACAAGCACTCCAATCCTCCTTATGATGAGCTCAGGATGCGAGCCTCGATGAACGCCAACATGCAGGGCTCTGTGGGGGATGCTAGATGGCCTCATCGCGAATGGCAATCAGAACATGCCTGGGATACTCCGACGGGCCAAATCTTCGAATGCGGTCAACAAGCCGCTGTCGGGAGATGTGCTACGTGCCTTTGATGACTACAACAAAGATCTGGCCGAGGCTGCTCAAGGCAACCTACGAGTCAACTTCCGTAGTTGTCATGAATGTAGAGTGGGGTGGGGTTTGTCATTCGGCACAGCTAGACAATGAAGGCTCGGTGTTGATGCTAGGCTGTGGTCTGGGACCTGGGTCGTGCTTTTTGGAGTTCGGTTGTGGCGAGTTTGGGGTTTATAATATCCAGTAGCCATAATCTCATTATGCATAAAACCCTATCTCGCTTAAATCAACAGCGGCTCTAGCCAAAACCCCCACCCATCCCCGACTATCCGGATATATCAACCTCATGCAATGTAGTCTTGTAACAAGACTACATATTGTATGATTCGAAACCTCAACTCTTAAACCCGGCAACCCATTGAAACTTAATCCCCGTGAAGGAAGTCATACTCGCGAGGTGCCCCCCCGAGCAATGTGGTCACCATTTAAAGCAAGTCGATACCTCCAACCCATATGAAATCAAATTCGGAGCCAAAGTGCCTTCTTTGGAACCTACAGAAGCAGCCCTAGCATTGTCGTTTCGAAACAATTAACCAACCTAAACCCATTATACCCCAATCTTAAGCCACCCGACAACTCCTCCTGCCAGTTGCTCCGCCGGCTGGTGGCCGCAGACGTGGAGCAGCCTCCACCCGTGGGCCTTCCAGATCGGTCGCATCTTCGGTTGTTGGCAGGAAGTCGCTCATCGAGGAAAGTTTCCGGACGGACGAAGAGAAGCATAGCAAGTTCAGCTTCTTGTCGATATTATAGGCACGAACTATCGAGACTGGGGGTATGGTATGATCGAGTTGCACCCCAGGTCAAGCTGTGAAGAAGGAGATCGGTGCGATGAGCACCCTGCTCCTCGATTTGCAGCAATGCAACTGCCCGGACTTGCTCAAAAGTCTCAAAGACCACGACGCCAAGATTAAGAAATTGGCTCTGAAGCCACTTGGCTGTATATGTGTGTAGACGGCATGTGTGATACTCATGTTCAACGAAAGCAGAGGGAGCAAGAGAGATATGGGGAGACAGAGGAGTGTGGTAGGGGTCTGAGATATCTGTTCATATACGCATACACATGTGTGCACACATGGTGGCTTGCAGGCTGGGTATGCTCAAATCCGGGCCGGAGTTCGACGACCTGTGCCAGGAAGCCTTTGACGAGGCTCATTTCAGATATTTCACTATCACTATACCTACTCTGCCATCCCCCTTCAAACCCAAACTCAAAACATTCCCGCACTCTGATCTGCCCCTGACAGATCGAGAAGCTGAAGCTTGTCAAAGGGCAAGCCAGTGGCCTCCTGAAGGAGCTTCGCAAACGACCGTGACCGCAGCCTAGGGATGCACGGGGTTGGGCGGTGCTTAAGATTGAAGTTTGAGGAGTACTATAGTAGATGTTTTCACTTTGTCTGTCGGGGCCCCGATCGAAGTGCATTTGCTGCAGCCCGGTACGTCGTATGGAGTCGCCCAAACACTAGCTAGATTCATAAATACATCAACATGTACAAGTTGGGCTTCTTCGTCGCATTTTGATACCGAGCCTTCTGCATTAGCAGTGGGAACATTACGATCATCGGAGATCCGTTTGGCTGTTGTCCCTGATCAGTGCTAGAACCATAAACCCTAGCTTCGATTCCCTAAACCCGAGATAACCCTAACTGGAGACAAAAACCTTCTGCAACAACCCCAACCCCAAAGCTCTAAACTCCTAAACCTAACCCTGAACCCTAAACCTGAGTTAAGTGTATCAAGATCAGCCTTCAACAGCTTTCAACCTGCCGCAAAAGAGTTGCAGCGGGAAGGGGTTTGGGCCGTAGGCTCAGTACCAGCCGCAATATTCAAACTACTTTCTGGGAGTGCTGGTACTGACACTGGCCCGCTAGCCGTATGAGTGATCGCAGAAGAAGCCTAGGGAGCCGTGCTTGAAAAAGGTTGCTTATTTATAAGCTGGAATATATTGCACCTGGCGTTACCCAACCTTAATTCACTAGTACCTAGACCAAGCTTCCCCTGGCCCCCGCAGGCAAGCCTTCGTCTGGATCCAAATCCACTGCTGAGCGCCTCGATGATTTGTTGCTCGGCCTTTATGTTCTGGCTTAGCTGCTTTGAGGCTTGAAGTTGCAGCAAAGCCGAGGCTAGTCAAAGCGACAACTGACGGTGATGCGAGCCTAAAGCTGACATGCGACCTCGGAACCTTGTGCTTAAATCAGTCTTCGTGATCCTTTTGATTTCTAGAACCCTCGAAGTTGCTAGATCGTTGAAGTGACAACCCAGGTGACACCTATGACAGTTCTCTCTTGCACGGTTACGAGAGTCGTCCTCTGCGGGAGGATGAGTACATGTCTAGAGTTCGCAAAGCTGGGTATGCACTGCCGACTGAAGTCACCTATGTGGCTGCACCAGTCATCCGTGGAGAGGAAGAAGAACCCATCATTGAGCACTGTCCTGTGGTGCTGCCATCCTCTATGGTGCTTTGGCTTACTTAATGACCAGCATATTTGCGAATGATTTGTAGCTCCCAAAGTACCCAATATTCGCAGCCCCCCACACATAAGCTCTTATTTGCTTGGCCAAGACAACCCTACCCTACACTGCAAACCCGTGATATAAGCCCTGAACAACCCCCCAAACCCTTGAATCCCTAGAAGCCACAATCTAACTTGAGGCCACGGCACTCATTGAGGAGCTTTTTGTGGACTCCATGTATCCATCGAGCTCAGATCTGGAAGCCTATTGGGCCCAACTCCTGCCTGACTTCAATGGACATTGGCTTACTCAGCACCCAGATATCTGGCATTGCACAATCCCCATAGTCCTTTGGGGCGATGAGGGGACCCTGAATAACAGCTCGTGGATGGTGGTTTCATGGCCGCTGAAGCTGCAATCCTAAATCAAAGATTGAGTAGAGATCTCCCTAGTATTCAACCGGCTTTGGCAGTTAATCTTGACTAGATAGGCACGCAGACTATCTAAGGACCGCTGATCTCAGTATATTCCGCGAGCACAGCAAGGCATCCCGCTACATGATCTACTCGCTTCTGGCTAGCAAGTACTGGATACAAGGCAAAACCAATGAGACCCTCCAGCAACTGAACGCTGCAGTGGCCAACGACATCAATGGAGTGATGCAGAAAGGCATTGAAACCACCTCCGGAGATTCTTGCCCAACAGACCCGGTTCGTACTAGGTTTTGGTGTGTGTGTGTGTGTACACATAGCCCCTCATAAGAAGTTTTGGTGGGTGTAAAATTCGGTTGTTATGTATGGGGATACATGGCAAAAGCCTTAATTCAAGTCATAGCACAACCTCCTACAGTTTTATCTGAGGAAACCTATTATTTTGTTGTGGTGGCTTTTCGTGGAGATCTGAAATATTTGACCCAGTGCTTCAACTTCGTGCGCAATTCGAGCACTGACAAGGCCCGCAGCACTGTGCCAACCATTTTGGCAGATGTTAGCGGGCTCGTGGTTTGGGTTACAATGCGGTCTAGTTTAATGGTTAGGGTCGTGCTGGTCAAAATATTTCGACTCTGCAGGTGTGCTTCAAATGCTTGGCATCAAGGTCCGATCCGGCTATGATCTACACTGACATCAATGCTGATGCTGGTTGGACAGCGACCGAATTTTCCGATGTGGAGCCGCCGTGGGTGGACCCGCCGGCTTTTGCTGCTATCGATGGGTTTGATCTTCGCATGGTTCAAGTGGACTGGATGCACACATGGTCATTGGGAGTGGCACAAGACGTGCTGGGAAGTGCCATCAAACTTATGTGCAAAGGCAAGATGTTTTACACAGGATCCAATATACAGAAACGGCTCAGCCAGTTGTACCGAGATCTCAAGATCTATGCAGCTGCGAACGGCAAAGCTTTGTCTTGTAAAAGACTTCGTAAGCGCACTCTTCGCTGGGAAAATGGCTGCCCTGAGCTGCACGTCAAGGCTGCAGACATTGCGGTGTTTTTGCCTTTCGTACTTGCGAAGCTGCAAGAGGTTCCGATGGAGGGGCCTTACACTGGCCTGCTTGCGATGGTTTGGGCAGCTGACGAATTTTCCCGCTCCGTCATGGCAAGCAGGACGTTTTTGACGGTGGACCAACAGCAGCACATACGTACAGTGGGCGATCTCTTCCTGTCTACCTTCTGCCTATTGGCACAGCAAGCACGGGACAGAGGCGAATACTATTTCAAGATGCGTCCAAAATTTCATCATTTGATCCACATGGTCAGAGACAGTCGACCGAGCAGAAGGTCTCCGGGATGGGACAACTGTTACATGGATGAGGACCATGTGCGACACTGCATTCGTGTTCTGCGCAAAGTAAGTCATCGGACGGCAGAGAAAACTTTGCTTCTTCGAAATGCTGTGCAGGTGAAGCAGACCATGCTGCAGTGCTTGCGGTAAACTCGAGATTTTTCGTTGGGGCGAGAAAACGAATGTCGGTGGCCGAGTGCGAGAGTGGGTGGCTTTCGGGTTTAGAGCTTTCCTTATTCGGGCCCTTGCTGTCGGGCTAAAGTTTCGGGTATTTGGGGTTTGCTGTTGTGTTTCCGCCGTCCCCATTTCCGAGTTCAGGGCTTTCAAGGGCGAGGGAGAGACGGAGAGACACCCCAAATCCCAAACCTCAACTGTGCACCTGCCAGACCCCAAACCCCAAAACCGCAAACCTTACAAACCCTAAAAACCCTAATTGTGGCTCAAGTGTTTGTTTGGCTCAAACCCT